CTGCTGAAACAAACCACTGCAGAGTTAGGATGGACAGGAGTACAGCTCAGAACAGCAGCTTGTAATTTGCATAGGGAAAAAAGTGCTATGATTACAGGTTCCCTGGACCTGTAAAATGGGCCTGTGATATTATCTTTTTCTAAGGGTGTGACATGAAGCTTTTCTTTAATGAACTTTGTGAATCAAAACAGCTTTAAAATTAATGAGTAGGACCAGGGCTGTGCAAACACTCCCAGCTGAGGCAGCACTTGGATGGGAGAGGAAAAAAAATCTTTTTGTCTGGCCATTGGCATCCAAAAGCAGTGGGAGCAGTGTGGCTGCCCAACCAAGCCCAGAAACCAACACATCAGCCCAGCAGAGTCACCTGTGCCTTAATGGTCACCCAGAGCACTTGGTTCCCACCTCAGTAAGGTAACCAAGACACCTCCATCCACAGGAAAAGTGCAGAATAAAACCCAAGGAACTTATGGAATGCACACTAAACATGTTGTTTACAAAGAAGAGATCTGGATTCCAGTTTTGTAGCATCATAAAATGATGATTTAAAGAACTATTCACACATCTGGTTTTAATAAGACTCTTCAAATTACAGTCAGTGTTGTACGTAAACAAGTTCCCACAGGAGAGCTCTGAACCACTTCAACTCCTATGAGCTTTCCAAGCTGTCCTTGTGCCACAGACAAACTACAGAAAGAACATCCTTCTAGCCTACAGAAAGGTCCATTTTTTGTGCAGCCAACTCAAAACAGAATGAAACTTTTTTAAATTGTCCTTTTCCTCTCTTTCTAAGCTTCACTTAGATTTTGACTAGACTACTTCAAAATATTAACCTCTCCAGAGAGCAGCTACGAATACTGATTTGGACAAGACTGAAAACCACTTCAAAGTGTATTCAAGATCAGGAACAAGGACTTGCTCTGCAGCCTTGGCAATGGCTGATGCTGTGGTAAATCTGTTATCCCCCAGCTGTGCCACACACCACGTTAACTACTGACCAAACTGCTGCAGCACCAGCTCAGGCCCTTTATGAAATTCAATGATCCCTACAGCATTTCTGGTTATACCCTGGTCCTAACCCCCAAATTTTCTGTGCTGAAGTGCAATGTGTAAACCACTCAAATGGCTCTGGCCAGAGAGATGCTCAGGTCAGAGTAACTCCTTGTGCCAACCCTGGAAGATGGTATCACAGAGACTGCAGAAAGCAGCCCCCAAAGCAGGGCTGGCAGCAGCAGGAGAGGAGAAATTCTGGGATTGAAGGGTCTGTAGCAGCTTCAAGCTGGAGGAAGCAGCTCCTGATGTCTCCCTACAGCAGGAGAGAGCAGTGGCTGAGCCCAGAGCAGTGGCCAAGGCTATGCACACACCCACGTGGCTGATGCTGAGGGCTCAGCCCAATCTGATGCATCTGATTCAGGCTTGTCTGTCAGATCCCCAGATAAAGGAGACTGAACTGTATGATATAGTCTAAACATGATTTCTACCACACCTGACCCAGAAACTGCAAGTAATGCTCAACACACAGAAACCAACCTTGGAAAACACAGACAAATCTCATCCAGGCTGACCTGTTTTCAGTGTAGGAAATCACACTGCTTGTAATTAGACCTTAAGGGTAGGGTTTGTGATCCATATCCAACAAACTCCTTTATGCAGCACACAGGGCTGAAAAAGAGCTGGAAAATGCACCCCAGCAGACTGTGTGACCTGGAGATTCTGTGAACTCTTCAGCCATGCATTGGCACAGACAATAAAGCCAGTTTGGGACCCAAACTGCTACCATTATCCCTAGGTAACCCCAACCAGCACCGAAACAACTCACCTTTCAAAAGCACATCGAAGGGCAACCAAGATTAAAGCAAAAGGGATGCTGAGCAGCAGATCACGAGGCTTGGGGTAATGGATGTCCTCAGACTCTTGCATGTCCTCCCAGGTGATTCCTGGGGGCAGCCAGAACTCGTGCTGCCACAGCCACTCATAGAGAGCACGAGCCATCCTGCAGGGAGGAGAGAGCAGAGTGAGGAGCAGTAGAACCTGTCAGCACAAGCCACTGAAGCCCAGGGAGGATTCCTCCCTCGCTGAGGCTGTCAGAGCAGAGGAGCTGTGGGACACAGTGCTGCCCAGAGAGCTGATAATCTGCTCCCAGATCCCTATCAGGTGAATGATGATTCCTGGCACAGCACCAGAAAAAGGATGAAATGGGGAGAAGTGACTCAGAATTCCACAGAACATTGTGTCAAGCTCCTCAGGCTCACAGGTTCCTTTCTGGTACCATGAGGAGGTGGCAGAGCTGCTCCAGGGCTCTCCTGTTCTCTGCACATAGCCTTATTTTTCAATCTGTGATTCTTTGTATTCATTTCTTCCTACTTATACACTACAACTGCACTGTCTGTGTGTGTGCAATAGTATCCTGAGACATCACCTTAAAACAAGAAAAGAGGAAAACAAAAAATCAATCTTTTGCTCTAAATTACTAAGGGAAGCACTTCCAGGTGAGAATTTTGGTGCTAGGTGCTAAGCTGGATCCTTAATATAGTTATAAGGACCATGCCAGAGGGTGGGATTTCCACACATGAGCAGTGAGTTTAGCAGCATCAAGGGCAGTGGGATGGGGCAAGAAGCATCCACACACAGATGCTGGTATGGATAACTCTGCCCATGCACAAGTAGGAGCTGCAGCACCCTCCAGTACAGGCTGCTCCTTCCAGCTCCTAACCACAGACATCCCAGGCACAAGGGCTGAAATCCAACAGACTGTGCAGCACAGAGGAAGGAAACAGGAATGAAATGTCCACTGAGATCACCTGAACAGCACAAGGGAAATGCCACCATAGAAACTATGATGAATTGAACTCAGAGGGTATTTGGGCACTGGAACAGGGTTAGGCTGGAGAGCAGGACAAGGAGCTTCCCCCAGAGGTGTTTGGGCACTGAACAGCTCCCCAGGGCAGTGGGCACAGCCCCAAGGCTGACAGAGCTCCAGGAGTGTTTGGCCAATGCTCTCAGGCACAGGGTGCAGTGTTGGGGTGTTTGGGCAGGAGCAGGATTTGATGACCCTAGTGGGTCCCTTCCAGCTCTATTGTGTGATTCTGTGAGTTCAACACCATCACCTGCCACGGTGCCACCACCCCAACACAGACTGTGCCCTTCACACAGCTACTGGATAGCAGCTTAGGACAGCCAGATAACCCAAGTGAGGTGTCTGAATTACAAAGGCATGAGAAACACCAACCCCAAACACGTTGGCAAACTTTCTTAGGTGCTAAGAGTCTCAGCTGTAGTCAGGAAAAGCATCAGGAGAACTCAAGAGAGAAATGACATTTCATCCCTGTCTCAGCTCTTTGGAAAACACCTCTCCAGCCCCAGAGCTCTCTTGGTGTGCAGACAGCAGGTATGTCCTGCCACCTCAGCCAGCTCCCAAGGACAAACTCAGCTTGTCCCTCCAAACTGTACACATCTGGCAGCCACACAAAGCCACACCTGGCAGGGAACAGCAGCTGAGCTGCACCGAGGGCTCTGCAGGACATTATCAAACAGGTCTTTAGATTTGCTTAGGGGAAATCTATAGAACCAAAGTGCTAAGGAAGTAAACAGCCATTATCATCTAATCTGCTCTCGTGGGCAAAATATATACAGCCAGGATGACCCTCCTGGAATATTTCCTCATCTCTGCAGCTGTATCTACACATGGCAAAAATACAGCAAAGGGTGTGATAGGAAGCAATTTCTCTACCTTTTGCAGTTTGCACAGGTCAAGTTCCCAAGTGGAGGTCCCTGGAGAGCAGAAGACAATGGTGCGTCTGAAAGGCCCTTGGAGCACCCATGGAAAAGGGTGAACAGGCCCATTTCTTTCTCAGGAGTTTTTTAGGCCTCACAGAGCATCTATCCTGTTAGCTGTAGCTTTGCAGGAGTAGACAGGACAAAGCCCTTCAGCTCTGAACACAGGTTGGACAGAGAAGACACCTCCTCACACAGAGTTTGGAGGAAAACAGCACTGGGAGTGGAGGTTGGAGTCTGGTGGGGGTTGGTCTCTTCTCCCAGGCAACCAGCAGCAGGACAAGAGGGCACAGACTCAAGCTCTGCCAGGGGAGGGTTGGGTTGGAGATTAGGAAGAGATTTTTTAGGGAGAGAGTGCTCAGGCATTGGAATGTGCTGCCCAGGGAGGTGGTGGATTCACCATCCCTGGAGGTTTTCAAGCTGAGACTGGATGTGGCACTTAGTGCCATGGGCTGGTGACCACAGTAGGGTTGGACTTGATGATCTTTGAGGTCTCTTCCAATCTGGTTGATTCTAGGATTCTATGATTCACAAACAGCCACCAACATCCCAAACACTGGATGAGCAGCACTAAGTTTATGGTGGATGATACATGCAAGGATGACATGAAGAACAGAGAAGGATCACAACTATGCCACGGGGCCAGGGGGACAAGGCTTTGGTGCCTACTGAGCCCACAGTGCACCAAGAGGCAACGAGGACTCCACAGAGCTCCTCTGAGGTGGCTCAGAAGGTCCTGAAGCCACTGGGCTCTGTGCAGCCCAGCACCCTCTGTCCACTGCATGTACCTGGTCAAATCTTGCCTTTCCTGGTGTTGTTGTTTTAGGTTGGCTTTTCTTTTCAAACGTGGTGTTTTTTTCTGAGTTCTCTGCCTTCCTAAGGTCTCTGCTGTTGGCTCTGAGCTGCTCCAGGGAGAGCAAACCTGCTGAGCAGAGCAGCACTGAGGGCTCCCTGCACCCTGAGCCCCAGCACAATCCTGTCCCAACCCTCAGGGCCAGTTCTGCGCCGAGTTTCGCTCTCGAAGCACAACTGTTGGGGAGGCAGCACAGCCAGAGAGGTTCCTCCTCATCTCACAGGGGAAATGGCCAAGCAGGTTTACCCAGAGAATGTTAACTGCTGCCTACATCTTCAAAGAGTTCTCCTGCTGCTCAGCTCCATTCCCAGGCTAAACATTAATACCCAAATCCTCACGTCCATTTACATATGTGAATAGAGCAGATAAGGGTGGGGAAGAAACAGAAAGAGCTTACACAGTTCTTTCCATGTCTTGGGCAGAACTGGCTGGGAAGGTCTCAGAGCACCCAATTAGGGCAGATGTGGCTCATTTTCTAGGCACACAGAGCTGTGGGTGCCACAGCAGCAAACACACTCTGGTGGCTCTGGGCCAAGCCATCTGGGTCTGCTGAGTCTTACTGCCCTAAGTGCAGCACCACGCTGAGGACCTTGCAGCCAGAGCAAGGATTCCTGCAGGGATTCCTGCAGCAGCTTTCCTGGCACAGCCAGTTTTCCCAGGATGTAATTAGCCACAGCAGCACTGCCACGGGGGAAATTGCTAGTTAATGTGGAAGCACAACCACTACCAGGATGCAGTCATGCTGCTTCTCAAGTCAGGGTGCTTTACTTCTGCCATGGGGCCATGGCTGAAATCCCTGAAACCAAAAAAAGCCTCTTCAACCTTGACATGCTGGAGAGCCAAACAGAGAAGCTTATCCTACCTTCTGAGAGGCTGTTTGGGCCAAGAAACAGAGTTACTCTGTATAGTTATAAAGCTTCCTAGAAGGTCCATATTGCCTGAATTTGGGTTTCCACTGCCTATTCTGCATCTGAACTTTTGCTTATTCTGCTTGGAAATCAATCACTCATGGGCAAATTCTCCTGGTAGCTCTTTTTGAGGCAATTTGTTACCTTTTTGATACTTCCCACAACCCTGGGAAGTTCACCTTCACCTTCACCTACCAGTGACAGCTACCCAAGAGAGGTGAGCAGGTCAGACATGAAGCTCACTGTACCTCTTTTGTGCAGAAATAAACCATTTCAAGGAGTAAAGCTCAGGCCAACACAGCACTGGGTACTTTGAACACCCACATTATGTTTAATCTCTCCATCTCTGAGGTTTTCTCATCCATTATTTTGTTGTAAAACCTTCACCGCTAAAGATCACAATATTGGGATAACAGTTGCAGGGATCATTTTCTCTTCATTTTTTTTTTAAAAGATATTTTATACAATTTTTTCCCCTAACATAAATCAAGTATTGCCACTAAAGATTAGGTAAAATTACTAGATAAGAAAATCATTGCTCCAAAATTCTTCATTGCATGTAGCTTTACTTTCCACATGCTGAGACAGAGATCAGTCCCAGGCTCCTGCCTGAAGGGAATGCATTATGCTCTTCAAATTTCACTTTGGCTTTGATATGTTCATTTCCATTTCCTTATCCCTGCTAGCCACACTGCTCACACCTGCCCTCTGATCCTGCCTCATCCAGGGCAGCATCCTGGATCCCTCTCCTGCCCATCCCTCTCCAGGTTCTTCACCACTGTGAGCTCTTCTCCTCATGTGAAGTAACCATGGACAGACACTGCCCCAGGGGCTCAGCCCACATTTATCAGCTAAGACAAAAGCCTCTCCAACAATGTCCTGCCACGGCAATAAAAAGATGTTTAAGCCTTTCCTTATAGCTCCAGTTCATGAACTGACTACTGCCCTTCCCTGTCTGCTGTGGCTCCTCACCCTGCCAAGGTAACATCCCCACAAACCCAGCACCTCCAGTCTCTGAGCTTCAGGAGATGATTATGAGCCATAAGTGATGCAGAACCTCCAACCACATGGACAGAGTTAGGTATTAATCTCTTTCCACCTGCAGCTAATTCTGCTTTGTTTCTCCTCTGTTCCTCAGCTTTCTCAGCTCTTTCTCTTGCGACTCTGAACCCACAGCTTCTGGCAGAATCTCCCTGTTGGTTTTGCATGAAGTAAAGACTTTCAATTCTGAAAGAGTGAAAGAGACAAAACCAGAACCTCCTTCCCTTCATAATCACCAACACTATGTATGCAGGCTCTCCCTCCTCTCCCAGACTTTGCTCTCCACATCTTCTTCGGACGCTGGCTGGAAATTTGAAATTACTTGTGCAGCTTTGTTTCTCCACCAATGACCATCTCACCTCCCTGGCTTTCAGATGTTCTCCTTAGATCTCCTTAGATCCTAGACATCCACTTACACCTCCCAGCTGACATTTCCCACCAAATTACTTCATGCCTGCTGTCCACACAAGACTAAATTCACTTTGCTGCTCATGTGCTGCTCTGCTCAAAGACAACACTTTCCATGTACACCACCTTTAGGGAGAGCACTTCCCAGAAAAAGCATAAAATACCCCAAACAAACATTAGAAACGGCAAATAAAAGTTCAGCAAGCAGAAACTCGTTCACCTAGATCTGCAGAGAACATCCTCCTCACCCAGCACAAATTACAAAGTCACTCCCATACCTTGTGCTCTGCTCCCCAGCTCTCCTCGTGTGCCTGCAGTGCCTGATCAGACTGCCAGCTCTGACCCACAGCACAGGCTCGAGCTGATGTCACTCACCCACGTCAGGATGCAAATCACACAGCTCCTCTGCCTCCATCAGCCTCACTGAGGGCATGAGCACAACTCCCTGGTGTTGCTCTGTGAAAAACAACCAGTGGTTTTGCCAGACAAGGCACCGAGTGCCTCTGGCTTCACCCGTGTCTTTGGGCAGGAGATGCTCAGAGCAGTGAGCCTCAATTTTTCTTAGCCTCCTTCTCACTGCCAAAGGGCTCTGAGAAGCCTTTCTGGGTGTTCTTCACATCCCTCACTCCAGCTGAGCTCTGCTTTTCCTGTCTGCATTCTTCCATGCCCAGGCAACACTTTTCTATTCCTCCTGGCCATCTTCCACCTTCCTGATACTCCCTCTTTGTGTTTAAGCTCGAGCACAGTCCCATGGTCAGCCCTGCTGGCCTCCTACCACTCGTGTTTGCCTTCCTGCATGCTAGGATGGATTACATGTGCTCACAGGAGGTTGTCCTGGAAGATCAACCAGCTGCCAGGGCCCCTCTGCCTGCCAGGAGAACCTCCTGTGAGATCCTGTCAAGCAGAACCCTGAACAAGCCACAATCCTCTCTCTGCCAGTTCCTATCTGATATCACTTGATAGAACTGAAGAAGAAAATCAAGTTATTGGCCTCAGGCCACAGTGGGATAAGAATTCAGGTTGCAAGATCACACAAAGAACCAGGAGGGAGTTAATTCCCCCAGAACTGCTCACCTCTTCTTTCTCTGAGCTCATCAGTACTGAGCAAAGCAAGTCAGGCAGTGCCAGTGAGACCATGTCCTTCAGTCTGTTTGGAGACAGAAAACACTGCCCCCAAAGCCTGTTTATCCCCACAGACTGTACAACAAGCAGTTCAGACACCAATAAAAACCTTTCCACACATTTTGGAAGGTGAAAGGGACAAAAGGGAATCACACACTGAATAAGGCTCAAAGCTTTGAGCCTGAGCAGCAATAACTTAGCAAGAAACTTCTCCAAAGGCAAGTTCTGGCCTT